GTAAAGTAGAACTATTGTTCTAGATTCTCCTGGACTAACGTGTTCGTACTGTAATACAAGATCAATACCGCATAGAGGATTTACAGATGACTAAGCGATTTTTATTACCACCATTTAGGAAATTACGTTATGACTAGGAACAAAATCGAACTAACAGGTTTGTAGGTTTTGGTGTCACGAGTCAAGAATTTTCATACCAGTAAAGCGATCAGGATACCTGATTATAAGCATCGTGACATCATAACGAGATCAACAGTTTTTTGATGGTCGTAACGATTTCGAGAGATACAGCGAGATCGATCGTAAAAGCGATGAAACATATGAAACTTTCGATCAAGGTTAATCTCTCTTTCTCCCGTGTTCTTCCGTTCGCTTTCGCTGATATTGGTTTATGGTCCCTACTGGACTGGTTAACCGGATGACGTAGCGATTTTCGCAACGATTGCGCCGGTCTCGCCAACGGTTGCGACAGGATTCCGCGCCTACGAAAGCAGACGACTACGTTGTATACGTCACGTTCAATTTTCGGGGTCAAGTGCACAACGAACGGCTGTTTGAGAAATACCATTAGAATGACTACGTACGTGTTACCACAATACATTGGAAGGTTGTGTTACATAATGAGAAGATCGGACACTTTACCTACTGTTACAGTTACATAATGAAGTAGCGGAGGAGATAAACGGAAGAAAATCGAACCCACTCTTGTTGCAATGTAGGAAGTAAAATTGTACAAATAAAAGCAAGAAGATAAATAGAAATAGAAGAGATAGAAGAGAAAGAGAATTTGAAATGGGATATAAGAATGGCGAATTTCGTACAAATTGGAAATAGATTTACTGCCGAGATAATCTCTTCACAAAAGTTAATCGGTGTAATTACTTCACCAGATTAGAACCCAGTATAAATTATATAAAGTCCATGGCAAATAGAAATTTGGATTTTCCTTAAACTGCAATAGCAGGTAGTAAGGACAGTATTTTATCCGATTAGGATACCAATAAGCGATGTCCTGTTATATCCTAATTCCGCTTGGCAGACCGACGGACTAATGCGTGTCACAAAAGGGGTAAACATTAGGTGTCTACCACTTTGCGAGCAGCTTCGTGATTCAGTGGCTTAACCGGATCCGATGTTACACGTTCCTTTCTAACGTTACTCAACTCTTATAGAATTATGCAGGTCATCGGCTGGGGAAGTACGCGTGCCAATTCGAACCTTGTTAATACTCGGTCTTGGAAGACGTGGCTTAGACAGACCGTCCCGTCCCGTGCGTAGCCTACCGGTACGTGTATCACGTCCTGATCACTCGCGACCTCAATAAACGTGAATATTCGTATCTGACCCTCGTAATTTTTAACAGAAATTCAGATATTGCAGAAGCAAGGCATCTATCGCGTGAAACTTGATATTGTTTTAAGATACTATAACACTTTTCACCATAATTTTATAAGAATGCAACAACGATACGTGACTATCGGTTCATTCGACTGTTCTTCGACATCGGTCGAGTCACGTGGAGTTTTGTTGTTGCTTCAACGATGTGTCACGTGAATTATAAAAACTTCACGAGGAATCGTATGCTTTCCCGATGCAAATTTAGCGCCAACGCGTGCGTGTATCATAAATGTTTACAAAATATTTTTCCTCCATAGTATAAACATAACATAGGTAGACAATTATCTGCGAAATTCATCAGAAAATAACAGTATTTTTATAATGATCGGCACCGTTTATGCTATTCAGAATCTGATTGATGTTTTCTATGATTAATTAATTAAACAGTCATGAGCTACGGCAGGTGACACATTCTACGAGGAGTCGCATTTTAATTTAGCCAGTAGGCACTCTACGTGACCGTCTGCACGAATTTTCTCAGTAAGCCTGGTTGATGCTAATACACACGTGA